GATTTTAGCTCCTTTCAGTGTCCACCAGGGTCTTGAACAGAAAAGCCAAAAACATTGCTCCCTTCCCTCCATCTTGGAGGCTTCTTCCCACTGAGTTCTGAACTCACATCCTCAGCAGTGACAGCGTGGACTCCGAACCACTGGACGACCGGGAAATTCCCTTCATGGAGTTCTTAGATCATTTATCTGTCCCACCTGTAGCTGAGTTTCAGGAAGGCTGAGTGACCTGTCTTAGGTCACAAAGGATTCGCACTCAGCCCTGTGGGACTCGGAGGCCACGCTCTGAACGGGTTGGGTTCATCCCTGCCTCCCTCCTGTTGGGTCCCACTCTGGGCTGGGCTCTCGGTGGGTTCCTGGGTACATCACCGAAAGTCCTCCTCCTCTGTTAGCTCCAGCATCCTCACGAGGGAACACATGAGGTGGGGCGTTTGCTGCAGCAGCCAGGCTGTGTAGCCGAGGAGGATAGGCACTGTCATCTCCCCCTCTTAACGTCATCCCCAATAAGACCGAGAGCAGGAAGCACGCAGCTCTGCAAAATGATTCCTGCTGGTGGAGCGCCACAGGCAGCCTGGCTTGGAAGAGGTGTAACTTATGTAACGGGGCCCAGACCCTCCTTCAGCTATCTTTTCCTGGACCTCCCAGCCATCCCAGCCAGGCTCCCAGCCATGCCCCACATGCCGCTATTGCCAGAGCCCCTCTAACCTCCACTCACAGGCCTGCAGGTCTTCCCCTGAAATCTGGAACCCCCTAGTTGGGTTTCCAAGACCCTCACCCTGATGCCTCCCATTCTCTGCAAGTCATCTGCTCAGACTGCTGCCCGAGTCTGGCCTCTGCCCTCTTGCACCCCCTGCCTGGGCCAGGGTCACACCCCACCCTGCTCGTGGCTGGGCCTCGCCCCTGGTGGGCCCCCATTCCAACCCTCCCCCTCCTCCCAGCTCTCTGGCAATTACCCAAGTGATTGATTTGATAATTTATTTGGTAATTAGTCCCGCTCTGGCTGCTCAGGACACTTCTCTGCCGGCCAGGCCTAGAACATAGATCTGCTCCGTTCTCTTCTTCCAGGGAAGGAAGGCTGGGTCCTGGAAGCCAGAAGGATGGAGTCCACTCTGAGTCCCATTGCCTGTCCCCTTCCCGCAGCCCTGCCAGGCACAGGGGTGCTGCTCATAAAGGGGGCCCAGATGAGATTGCGTTGAGTGAGGGATGCTGAGGTTCTGTGTGCCGGGCACTAGAGGAGAGCCAGGGTCACAGTGCCCAGTGAACTATCAGCCTCTGGAAGCCTCTAGAAAGACCAAGTCCCCCCATCTGGCTGGAGCAACAGAGAAGCCTCCTGACAAGGTGCCATTTAGTAAGAATTCTAATCAGCAGCAGGATTAGGAGGCCCGGGAGAAACTAAGTCCTGGTCCCTGGTGGGTCCGGGTCACGTCCAGCCTGGGTGGCCTTGACCTTACTGCGGGCTGCAGCATGGCTGCCACCAACGTGTGTCCCTGCGGATACAGCCACCAGCAGCATCTCCAGGATGGGGTCCCCAAGGAGCTGGCTCTGTGGCATTGATTGAAATGCCCCCCTGCCAATTAGGATTTTTTTAAAGAAATGTATAATGATTCCTAATTGGCGCCCTCATTAGGTGCCAATTAAACACTTAAGCATTTCTTACAAGTTTAACACATTAATAAGGCAGCTCATTACATGGTAACGAGATTTATTTCTCATATTTATTATATTGTTTCACCACTGCTGACAGCAGAGTTATTTTTAAAAACATGGCTTCTTACTGATGGCACATGGTTCTATGCCTACTCTGCCCCAACCCACAGCCTGTTCTGCCAGAGCTCTCCATTCAGCCTTGGGTCCACAGCCCCCTGGGTCCTCCCTGGCCTCTTTTGGTCCAGCCTCCCAGAGGAGAGTCAAACAGGCCACTTTCTTCCCAAAGTCTGGAACAACTGGAGCTGAGCCCTGCAGCATACAGACTCTGAGCCTTGGGCACCTCTGTCCATTTAGCTAAACTGCCTCCCAGGAGCCCAGGGAGGCTGCAGGGAGGAGTCAGGGCAGGAGCAGGGCACCCCTGGGAAGACAAGGCAGTCCTTCGAGGCTGTCCCCTGGGGCAGGGAGGAAGGTGGCAGGCAGAGGGAACCATGCTGGTTTGGAGGTACAGAGAATGGACAGCTGGCAAGAGGACACCCTCGAAAGCCGTGGTGGAACCTCCACATTTTATGGTGCGGGTCTGTCTTCTCGCCAGAGGGCAGAGGGAGCCACAGAGAGTTTCAAACAGGGAGGGATGTGAGCAACTCTCTGTTCAGAAACATCAAGAGGAGGATGGGGTGGGAAGGGACATGGGAATAAACATCATGTCCCCTCCCACCTGCTAAGTTCCTGGTGGGCTCCCATTGTCCAGATCAACACCAAGAGGGCAGACGGATGCCACCCATGCAGCCCAGCCTTGGGGGACAGGGCCAGGGGGATGGGGGCTGAGAGGTGTTGACAGCACTGGCAGGATTTCAGAACAGTTACCCTTCTTCTTTTAAAAAAAAGCATCAGGTTATATGCATAAAAGAGATAAGCCACAAGAATTTACTGTATAACACAGGAAACAATATCCAATATCTTACAATAACCTATAATGGAAAATAATCTGAAATATGTACATATATGTATATATATACGTGAATCACTTTGCTATACACTTGAAACTATCATTATATTGTAAGTCGACTACACTTCAATAAAAAAGAATCCCAACCCTAAAAAAAACCCCAAAACATAAAAACATGGGGTTCACATCCTGTATATACACTCCACCTTGTTCACACATCACACTGCCTCGCCCTCATCCGTTTTGACAGCCATATAGAACGTGTGGCAAGGATGCTCCATATTGACTTAGCCAGGCTTCTCTGGGTAGGCTGTTTCCAATAGATTACTCTTAGAAACATCACCCAGTGACCACCCTGGGGTATAATTTCACATGCGTGTGAGTTTATCTGGAGGATAAATTCCTAGAAGTGGGCACTGCTAGGCCAAAGGATCTGTGCATTTTTAATTTTGATAGATAGTGCCAAATTGCTTTCACAGCGGTTACACAATTTATACTCTTAACAAGCCACCGACTACAAGTGTCTGCCTTCCCCCATGTTTACCAGAAATGTGCACTGACCTTTCACAGCTGTGCTCACTTAGTTTGCATTTCCCTCAGAGGAAGGAAGCTGAGCGTGGTTTCAGTAGGTGAGTCTTTCGGATTTCCTTTTGCGTAACTATGTGAACTATATGTTCACCTCTTCTGCTCATTTTTTACTGGAATTGTTGATTTTTTCCTTCTAGATTTATAGGGGATTTATGTATATATATATAGGGGATATATGCATATATATAGACAGTAAAGCGTCTGTCTACAATGTGGGAGACCTGGGTTCGATCCCTGGGTCAGAAAGATTCCCTGGAGAAGGAAGTGGCAACCCACTCCAGTACTCTTGCCTAGAAAATCCCATGGACAGAAAGGCCTGGTGCAGGCTACACCATGTGACCATGGGGTCACAAAGAGTCGGACACGACTGAGCAACTTCACTTCACGCATATATATATTTCATATTGTTGTTTGTTGTTTAGTTGCCAAGTTGTATCCAACTTCTTCCATGACCCCATGGACTGTAGCCTGCCAGGTTCCTGCCAGGTTGCCGTTTCCTTCTCCAGGAGATCTTCCTGACTCAAGGATCGAACCCATGTCTCTGGCATTGGCAGGTGGACTCTTTACCACTGAGCCACAAGGGAAGCCCATATATATATATGTATATATATATGTATATATATATGAAATTTGCAATTTTTTCCCCATAGCTTCTTGTCTTTAAACTTTGACTTTTTTCCCCACAGGGAAATGCTTGATTTTTTATGTTGCCAGATGTATCCCACTTTTTCTCTTGCAGCTTTTCTGTTTTTTGTTATACTTCGAAAAGGTCATAACAAATCAAAGTTGGACAACAATCCCTTTGTTTTCTCCTAGGAATTTTTTCTTCATTTTTTAGTACTTCTAGCTTTGATCCAAATGAAATTGGTGTTTGTTTTAAGATGTGAAGTAGGGAGCCAAGTTAATTCTCCCCACCCCACTGCACCCCACCCCTTGCCAGGTTATCATCCAGCGATTTGTTCTTGGAGGTTATTCTGGACTGAATCATTGAGACTTTTGGAAAGGTACCACTGGGGAAAGAGCATGTTCTGCAGCGGGTAGAGAGAGAGAGCCTGGGAGGATGGAATGGCGGGGCGGGATGTGCCTTCTGGAGGTTGAGAAGAGGGAGAGGAAAGTTCACTTGAGGGGACACGTTTGATTTTTCTCCACTTGGTCATTTTTGGTATCCAGTTTTAACTTTGCCTGCCACACTGTAATTCCTTCAGTACATCTGGTGACCTTGGCATAACCTTGGTGCAGGCAGAGTGCCGGGGAATCAAGGAGGAGCAGGAAGGGCAGTCTATTTGTTCTCGAGGACCCTCTGCTGAGCTCAGCTGGCCAAGGCCTGTGGGTCCTGAGCAAGCCCCCCCCAACCCCGCCCTCCACCACCAGTACACTCTGGAGCAGGGAGGGGCATTATTACAACACAAGTGGGACACTGTGGGGTGCTGAGGAGAGCCCCAGAAACTCATTTCCGGTCCTGCTAAGAGAGAAGCAGCCCATTTGTGAGTAAAGCAAGCACAGGACAGGCAGGGCTGGGCTGGGCTGCCCCCATCTCCCTGCTCCACCTTCTCCCTGCTGCCTGGCGGGCTCCCACTCGCCCCCTCTTCTCTGCCACTGAGACCCATCAGGCGTGGCCCTGGATGTCATCCAGGCCCTGGGTCCTCCCTTAATACAGTGAAGGCCAAACAGGCCATCTCTGACCCGAGATCTGCTCTGAAGGCATTCTGGAAGGTTCTGGTGGGCTCGTGTCACATAGCACCTGGGGAGGCTCTGATCCAAAGCAAGTGAAGGCCCAGGTTCCTGGCCAGGGTGCGAGTGGGAGACGGGGCGGCCGGTGTGTGTGTACACGTCTTACCTGTCCTTCTGCCCCCAGCCCAAGGAGTGTCCTTCCTCCACCTTCTGGGAACTGTAACAGCAGGCGCCTTGCCTCTTTCCGCCACCAGGTGGCAGCAGTGGAAGCCATATTCAGCCCCACTCCATCCTTTCTCTCCCGAGCTGTGGATTTAACCTCCAAAGAGAGCCTAAGGTTATCCAGCGGTCCCAGACCTCCAAGGAGCTGAGGAAAGATGGGGCCACATTCTCTCCAAAGCACAAGATCACCTTCCATCTCAAAAAATGAGAGGCTTGTGCCCCTGGCTCCTTTCCCAACACCTCCCCGGGTGAAGGCGGGGAGCTCTTGGGGTAGTAGCTGGGTGGAAGGAACACAGACTGGGGTGATTCTCAGGAACTTGGCTACTAGAGACATCCACAGCCACGTCCCAGCCAGGCACACTGATTCCTAGATAGCAACCAAGAAGACCCTTCCCAGAGTCTGAGGATGCTAGGCGTGTAGAGGGGGAGAGAAGAGGCTGGACTAAGTGGGGAGAGGAGCCATGACTGTTAGGTGAGGTTCCATGACCCCAGGCTGGTTCCCCACCCAGGATTCAGCACCAGGGTGGCATTAAAGCCTCTGGCACTGACCCTTGAGGATGAAGGCTGAACTGGGACCTGAAGCCATCCCACACTCCACCCCCACTGCGACCTGTAGACCCCATCTCCCCCACTCTCCACAGAGGGCGGTGGGTGTCCTGGAGGAATTATAGATTCTCCCAGCATCTCATCTCCAACTGCCTTGCCCCCTCCCCAAACTGCATCACTCAGACTACACCAGCCTCCTTGTCATTCTCTGCAGCTCCAGACATCTCATTTATCTCCATCACATTAGAGGCGGAGGGACCCAGATTTGGTGCCAATCTTCACGTGCCTCTTTTCCAGGCTCCAGCCACAGTGTCACGCCTAGGCAGGGCTTAGGGAACCCGCTTTCTGATTGTGTATGGTTCTCGAGATCCTGGCCATCTGGGTTCCAACAACCTGGAGGCAAATCTTTCAACCTTTATAGGGGACCCTTGAGATGGGCAGCCTCTTACTCTGGCAACAGTCTTTGCATATTTTAAAAAATATTTCTTTATTTATTTGGCTGTGTCAGGCCTTAGTTGCTACATGCAAGGTCTTCATTGAGTTGTGTGTGGGGTCAGCAGACTTGGCTCACAGGCTTAGCTGCTCCATTGCACGTGGGATCTTAATTCCCAGACCAGGGGTTGAACCCATGGCCCCTGCATTGACAGGCGGATTCTTAAGCATGGGGCCACCGAGGAAGTCTCTGGAAACAGTCTTGTCACTGGTCTGTGAACAGGTCCTGCCTTACACTGACCTGAATAGCCCTGGGGACTTGAGCATTCATGGACAGGTAAGGAAATCAGCTGTGACTGGCTCCTAGGGAGGGTTTGGTGGGCTCCCAATGCCCGGGGAAGACAGATGGTAAACAGAAGAACCAACAAACAAGATATGTTTAGGCTCTGAAGGAGGCAAACTGGGGTTGTCTGGAAATCAACAACGGCGGGGGACAACTTCAGACGGGCAATCAGGGAGGAGAGGCACATGATGCATGGGCACATGTGTGTCAAGAATTGCTGGCTATGGGGGCACGTGGGGCAGGGGGGTTGAGATTGGAAGACAAAAAACACTGGTGAAAGTAACAGTCCAGAGTCTTCCTGGAGAAACAGCCAGCAGGTCAATGGGGCAGAGAGACAGTGACATGGGCAAAGAAATGCCGGGACAGAGGGGAGGGCCTGGCCTCCCTGGGTAGGGAGGAGATTATAGCAGTCCAGAAAGGACCCCAGAGGCAGGCATAGGAATGAATGAATGAATGAACGCAGGAGGCTGGGGCCAGACTCTAGCAGCCTAGCCCTCACCCTGAGGTCTTTGTGAGGAGGGCCTTCATGAGGAGGGTTTTGGTCTACTTGATGAACACGCTGAGTAAAACCTACTTCCTGCCGGGGAGGGGGCTTGGCCCCCTGGGCAGTGGTGGGCCCAGCAGGGCCTCAGCTTCCACATCTGTGACAGGGTGGGGCCAGCTCCCACCCTCCCCCGGCTTCCTGGCCCAGCCCTGAGTCATCCATCAGACTCAAGGCCACCTGACCCAGTCCTGACCCCCACCCAGGACAGGGACCATTAATCTCCATCAGCCACCCCCAGCAGCCAGGCTCTGGGCCAACGGGTCCTATCTCCATCCCACAGGACTGACGCAAAGCAACCCTTCCCTGACTCGCATTCTCATCAGCTGGACTCCTCCCGGGGGACGAGGCCACCTCAGGTAGGTCCCTCACAGTTCTACAGGGACCTAGAAGGGGATCCCCTTCCCACCCAGCCCCCGGGAGCCCCAGGTTCAGGATGCATGCACGCTGACATCCGTGAGTGCCCTCTGCCTGCCCCCATGGGTGGGGAACTGGGTGCAGCACCACGAGCGAGGCCAGAGGCCCCTCTCCACCCCCCACATGCACAGAGCCGCGCTCCCCTGGCCTGAAGGGACTTGGCTCCAGGCCCAACCCCACGACCAGGGCAAACTCAGGGAGCCCAACCTGAGGGCCTGGGAGCCCAGGGACCTCTACAAGGGGACAGCCTCATCCTGCCTCAGGGGCCGAGGATGTGAGATGTCCTCCAAATCTAGCCCTGTGAATGAGAGCGTGCCATGCAAGGCTTTTGCCTCACTTGGCCCAGGACCCAGCCCGGCTTGTTCGGGCATGCCTCCAGCTACCCCGGGTGAGAGGCCACAGGCACGAAGTGGAGTATAAGAATCCCGGAGACCCGTCCGACCATGAGTGTGTGGGGACACGGCTGGATAGCACACATGTGTGAAGGGTAGCCAGGCTCCACCAGGGCAGGCACAGTTCCCCTTTGCCGCTGTGGGCTGGCAAGCATGCCTGCCAGGCTACAGGCATGTCGGCTTGGCGTGTGGAGTGTGGGCCACTGCCATAGCTTGTCTTCTTTGATTGGGGGAGTGCCCGAGCTCAGGGGATCTTCCATGCTGCCCTGCACAGGCCAGAGCCCTGGGCCCCCTATAAAGATGGGTCACCACACAGCCAGCAGAAGAGGGGTGGGGGTGGGGTCTTTTCATCGCTCCCAAAGGGCACCGGGGTCCCCTGAAATGGGATCGCTCTTTGCTCTCCTCCCTTCTCATTAGGGCAGCTTCCTTTCTTCCCGAGTTTCCACTCAAAGGCACAGGACAGGCCCTTGGAGCCCCTAATCCCTGCGCTCCCATCAGCGGAGCGTGTCTTTCTCCCCAACCTTATCTGTCTCCTGCAGCCATCGCTGACTCCCCTGCGGCCTGCCTCCCCCTCCTGTCAGCCTCTCCGCAGGTCAGCCCGTGTGTGTGTCCTCCCCTGCCTCTCCCCCTCCTCCCTGCACCTTCCTCCTCTCCCTCCCACTCCCCTCTCTCCCCTCCTCCCTACCTTGCTCCTCCTCCCCCCCCACCCTCTATCAGAGAGAGAAAGGAGTGTGTATTTGGAGGGGGGTGCTGTGGACAGCGGCCACTGTACTCACTCATCTAAGGTCAGCCTTCAAAAATCCCTTGGCCCACGTCCCTCCAAAGACGAGGAACAGCTAATGATACCCCCAAAGAGAGGTCCCCAGGGGCTGTTTCACAGTGGAGATAGGAGGGGCTGGGAATGAACACATGACAAGATGCAAATAGGAACTCTGCTGCTGGAAGGGTCTGTGTCCCACCCCAGCAGCCTCCACAGACTCCCCGCCATGTGGAGTTTGATCCTCGGGAAATCTTCAGTTTTCATCTAGTTCCAGAAAGAACACCATGCGCTGAGCCCCATACCTGCGGGGCCCAGGGCTTGCATTCTTGGTCTCAGGGCTGCCATCGTCCCATCTGGGTGGAAGGTGTGGGGTTTGAGCCAGCCCAGCTGATGACCTGCTTCAGGGTCAGTTCCTCTGTCAGCCACTTCTCACCTGTGAGCTCCATCAAGAGCAAGTTGCTTAAACTCTCAAAGTCTCCCCTTCTCCATCTGTAAAATAGGGTCACCAGGCCCACCTTAGTGGCAGGAGTTGCCGGGCACACAGCCTTTGACTACAGGAGGCAGAATCAGAGTGTTGACAGCTGAATGTGGCAAAATGAACCCGGGCCAGCAGTGGGTGACAAGGATAGTGATGCCCATTCTCCCGCCCACCGCCGGCTCCTGCCTGGCCCAGAGAAGAGGTGCCACTGGGATTTACAAAACTCCATCCTGCCAAACAGCCAGAAACACTGGAGGGAATTAGACAGGCCAGGCATGACTTGGGAAGGGCCCTCCTCAGGGACCTCACTCCTTGTAAGTGACAGGAGGTGGGATGGAAGTTGTGTAGGCAGGGACTGGGTAACTAGGACGGGGTCAAGGACCAGAAGCAACAGTGGTGTGAAAGCGCCGCACATGATGGTGCTCAGCGAGGGCTCTTTCCTTGGAGTTCTGTCGCCTCCAGGGCTGAGGATAAACTCAGGGCAAGTCCGAGTCCAGATGCTGCTCAGGACATGATTGAGAAAGGAGAGGGGTGATGGTGCACCCCATCTCAAGCTCAGAGAGAAGGTGCCCATACAAGGAGCTCCGAGTGTCGGCCCCAGAGGCTCCCCCAAATTGGCAGACACCTCTACAGACACAGATAGACAAATGGACAGAGATGGAGCGCCTCCCCTCCTCTGTGCCCAGAGGCATCTTGAGTACGTGTGGCTGGAGTGGTCTGCTGAGGTGTGGTCATGGTGGCCTTGAATGCCAGGGCCAGGAGAGGTGGTAATACAGATGTTCGCTGCAGCTGGAAGCACAGTAAGCTGGTGCGGGCATGGAGACGTGACTGCGTGCATGTGTTTATGCATATGGAGGCTCAGCAAGGTGTGTGTGTGTGCATGTGCGTGTGTGTGTGTGTGTGTGAATGCATGGTGGGTGGGTGCGTGCATCCTTTCCTGCTGCCCTGAAAGCACTCCTGCACTGCTGTGCTCCCAGGTGGGCAGGCAGGGGTCTACCCAGGCACTGAGGCACCCTAGCTGTCCGCCTGCCCACCCCCTCAACCGCCTCTGCCAACGGGCCACGTGGGCAATGAACACATCAGGTCATTAAACAGCAGATCAATTCAACTTAACTTCTTGGAGGAAAGCAGCCGTGCCGGCTGAGGGATGGCAGGGCTATAGGAGACGGAGGCTGCGGAGCCTGCATGGGGAAGGGATGGGGAGCTGGCGGGGCCGGGTGGGAGAGGGTGGCTGCCAGAGATGAAGGCTGTGGGGTGCTCCCTGGGGAGAAGAGCAGAAGCTAAGAGGAGGGGAGGGGAGCTCTGACCGAGGTTACCGACCAAAGGGGCCAAACCAGGACTGGGTGGTGGCGGAGAGAAGGGACAGGGTGGAAAGGAGACCCAAGGTGGACTGGAGGAAGTGCTCGTGTCCTCCCAGCTTTCCGGGGTCCTCTCCCAGTGGGGCAGGGCCGGTCGATGGGATGGAAAACCATCACCCAGCTTCCAGGACGCCTCACATCCTACTCCCTCGACAGTGCTGAATTGGGCTCTGCCAAGGTGCCTAGGAGCTCTTTTGGACTCTCCACAGCTTGTACAGCAGAGAACTGGCCCTGTGTGTGGAAGCCCCTGTCACTGGAAAGTCATTCATTCACTCACTGATGTGTGTGGAGCACGCACTAAGCCCCAGGCTTAGGGTTTGGCAAGACAGACGTGGAGAGGAGTCATCTACTGTCTAGCCTTGATGGGGCAGAGTAGAGCGGGAGACAGTGGGTACATGGATCAGTGTCCCACAGCTGCGGAGGAGACCGAAGGAGTCTGGCTCCAGGGGGGGGGGGGGGGGGGGGTAGAAGGCTTCCTAGAGTTCGTGACCCCCGAGCTAAGGCTGGAGTATAAGAGCAATTATCCAAGGACAGGAATGGGCATGGGGGTCAGCAGGGGCACCTGGCAGATGAGAACCACCCCCCCCCCAGAGATGGCACCTTGTTTATCTGTGGGGACGAGGGGCCAGGATTAGGGCACAGGCTTGGGGCTGGGGCAGTCAGTGCGGTGGGAGAGGGAGGGCCTGGGGGTCCACTGAGGAGCTTGGACTGGTCCTAAGGACTGTAGGGAGCCAGAGATGGCTTTGAACAGGGCAGGGATGGGAAGACCCATCTGGAGGCTGGGTCCACTGGCGGTCTGAGTCCCTCCCCAACAGCCACTCCCTCCAGCCATGGAGCAGATGAGTCACTAAGGCTTCACCAAGCCCTCTTCTCCTCCCTCACTGTGCTGCCGTGTAGGACTGGGGATAGGAAACCCAGAACCAGTCAGGAGAGGCCAGAAATGACAAGGGGAGTGTCTGGAGGCTCAGGGGAGTGAGGGGGTTCAGAGGAAGCCCCAGGCCCACTTGAGAGGGTGTTGGAGCTAAACGAGGGTGTTCAAAGATGTCAGAGGACCAACAAGAGAGGAGGCGAATGGTCAGCCTGATGGACTCAAGGGAGATAGGAGGCAAGCCGAATCTAGAACCTCCACTGAGACTTCCGCCTCAGCCTCCTCCTCTTTTGTGAGAGGCAGCTGCCCCTGCGGCTCCTAGGAAAGGGGGGGGAGACTGAAGCCCCACCCTGAATCAAAGCTCCCCCAGACCCCACCCCACCCCACCCCACTGGGTGGCTAAAAATAAAAGCAACGATAATTTCCCTAAATGAAACCTCCACTTAAACACTTAAAAAGCAATAAAAACTCAATTTTCTTTCTCTCAATTATTTTACTTATTCCATTTTCCAAAAGGTTCACCCTGTTATGAAGATGTATTTTTCCCCATCAGCGGCAGCGTTCTCCGCCATTACTCAAACTGACTCAGCCTCCCTCTGCCAGGAGGGTCGCCTGGTCTCCGCGGCAACGGGGTGCTGTGGCTGACAGCGACTTCACCACAGCTGCCTGGCCGGTGGGGAAACTGAGGGGGCAATACCACCGCCCTCCTCATGAGCTCAGGTCTCGATCTCCAGTCTCCTGGCTCTGACCAAACCCCCTCCAGCGCTGGCCCTCGGCTGCCTGCCTCCAAGCCTCCCCACCAGTCCATGTCCTCTGCCTCCCAACCCCTCCATTCAGGCCCCTCTGAAAGGCGCCCGTGTGGAGGGTGATGGAGTCCTTCAACCCTCAGACAGCACAAGGCCTGGTTTAGAGGAGCAGGCCCAGTGCTTCATCAGGAAGTCCTGACACTGGAACAATTAGGTTTCCGATATCATTAGTGCTTTGTGATCAGCTCCATTTGTATCATGCCCGCCCTATTGCCTCATCTCTGCTAATTGTTTTTACTCACTCCTTCCATTTTTAAACTGCTGTCTTGTTGGCTTTTAATTTTTAATTATTGCTGCCTCCCCTTCTTTCCTAATTGGTCTGGGCCCCTACAGAGGCTCCCTGGACTGTGGCTGCAGCTGGCTTCCTCAGAGTTGCTGAGGCTGCCCTGCCACCTGGCCCAGTCGGCCCTGGGGGGTCACAGCCTTGCTCCAGAGGCCAACCCCACAGCTGCCCCCTGGTGCAGACAGGGCCTCTGGATCAGGGGCCATCTTCCAAACACACACTGGACACCACAGCACAGGGCTGAGTGCAGTCATTCTGTTTAGTTGTTTAGTCTTCCTGTTGCTTAGTCATGTCTGATGCTTTGGGACCCCATGGACTGGAGCCCGCCAGGCTCCTCTGTCCATGGGATTTCCCAAGCAAGAATACTGGAGGGAGTAGCCATTCCCTTCTCCAGGGGATCTTCCTGACCCAAGGATGGAACCTGCGTCTCCGGCATTTCAGGTGGATTCTTGACTGCTAAGCCACCAGGGAAGCCTGCAATGACCCTATGGGGATGTGAGTGGCCAGACCCACCTGAGAACTTGCTTTTGTCCTGTCATGGGAGGGCTGCCTGTGGTTGGTACAGATACAACCACCTACTCTCCCAGCTCCCATCCACTCACCACCCACCCCTGCTTTCCTCCTGGCCCTGGGCCTCTAAGATTCACTACAATAGGAACACCAGCCTCCTCTCCCACTGCCCAAGGCCCAGAGATGACTCTCAGCCTCATCTCTGACCCTGGATCCTCATCCTCCTGCCTGGATGCCCTTCCTTCTCTTGGCTCTGCTGCATCCTACCCAGTGCTCTCTGACTGTCTGTTCATAGGTCTGTCCATTTGTTTATCCATCTGTCCGCCATCTACTATCTATCCACACATTCCCTCCACCTACCCATCTGTTTGCCTATTAGCCAGTCTGTCAGTGGGTCTCCTAGTTTGATCTTTTGCCCCTCAGTCTGCCCAGGTCCCTCTTTGCATCTCCCCTAGCCGGGTTCCTTTCCCTGGGGTCTGCTCACCAGGCCTCTGGTTTTCCCTTCTCCATAAGCCCTGAGTCCATGGTGGTCTCTCCTACATTTGACTTGGTCACAGACGAGCCCCAGCCAAGTTCCTGGGAAGCCTCAAAATTGAGCCTGACCTCCGATTTCTCCAGCCTGGGTCACACATGCTCTTGCCTCCAGGCCTTTGCTCCCAGCAGGTATGCCTGCTGGAGACATGCCCTCTCTCACCCTTGACCTATCCAATGACCACAGATCCCCAACCTCGTCAGTAGGACTGGGCCTTGTCCGAGGGCTGCCCCCCTCTCTCTCTCTCTCGCTCGCTGTGCGACTTGGCAAGATCCTTCCCTTCTCTGAGCTCTCACTTTGCTCATCTATGAAATGGGAACAGACCAGTTTCTGTATGGCCCCTCACAGGGCAGCTGTGAGGCTCATCAGAGTTGTGGGTGGACATGTAACCATATAATCAATGGGCAAGGAGGCCAGGCACTGTTTCCCCCCATTCCTCCCAGGCCCACTTTCCCCTCTCTGAGCTCCTCTGCCCTCTCCACCAATGAGGTCATTACTGGGTTTCAGCAGCTGAGTGTCCTCAAGCCCTTTGATCCTCAGCACGCCCTATGATGTAGGGACCACCGGCAACCCCAGAGAGGGAAGAGATGTACCCAAGATCTCACAGCTAATAAGGGCAGAGTATAATTTGAGTCCAGGGCTTAGCAGCTCCTTCTGGGGTGAGTCACTGGGTGCTGGTGAGCTTGGGTGCTCCCGAGGGTTGAGATGAGCAGCACCAGCCTTTGTCGGTGGTTTTAGCTCAGCTGGAGGCTGGACCCATGTTTCAGATGGAGACAGTGAGGCCCAGAAAAGGAAGACATCGCCAAGGTCACGGGTGAGTCCGGATCTCTCAGGGGCTCTGTCTGCCGGGCTCCTCAGCTCCCTGGTGGTAGAAAGATGGCCCCCCGGGGGGAATGTGTGAGTCAAGCTGTGGTCCTTCCTCCCTGCCCAGGACTGCTTACTGCTTCAGCGGTGTGAGGGGGAGGGCAGCGACAGGATGGGAAGGAACCACACCTGTCTTACTCTCTGTCCCCCCTGCCAAGCCAGTTCAGGGCCTGCCTCAGAGCAGATGCTCTGTCTGAGTGCGTGAAGGGAAGAAGGAATGAATATCCCATCCCCGCTTGGCCACTACTGAATTCAGCCCCAGGCACTGATGGGCCCTTGATCCAGAAGCACCTGGACTTCAAAGGAGGTTCCGGAGGGGGTGAGGCCCTGCTGATGGAATTGCATCAGAAACGAGTTGGGAGGCGACCTGAACCGGCTGCCTTCCCAGTACTCCCCGTTACCAGTCCTCACAGCAGCCGCGAAGACTCCTTGTCGGCCTGATGTGCGCCGGCAACCCAGCCGGGCGGCCGGGACTTGGTACCCTGTGGGCAGGACTCAGCGGTGCGGGGGCAGCCGGGTCGCTGCCTGAACCGACGCACATGCGCGGAGCTGCCGCCTGGCCCCGCCGCCGTCGCCGCCGCCCGCGCCCCCCGCCGCCGCCCGCGCCCCGAACGCGCGAGAAAAGCAAACAAAGACGTATTGGTTTCTGCTCTATTAGAGGCGCAGGAGGGGGGAAATCAATGTTTAGTAAATGGGAAAAGAGAAAATCGTTCAGGAAAGACAGTCTATTTCCAAGCCGGAGAGGGGTTCGTAAACAGCACAGGCGATCGCGGAGGAAGCACCGCGGGCCATAAAACTCCCCGAGCGGAGGCACGTTCGCTCAGCGAGCCCCGCAGCCTGCGCCGCCCGCCGGGGGGAGCCGGACCCTGACAGCCGAGCCAAGGCCG